TTTCATAAAAAGAAAACCGAAATTCTAAACAAATACAAAAGGGGCCATTTCTCCATTCCATTATATTAATTAATAGAACTGGAAATTTTGATTCAGACAGCTTTTAAACTAAGAGGCTAGTTTGATGAAAGACGGACGGACAGACGGACAGACGGACAACCGGACATGGTTAGATTAACTCGGCTGGTGATGCTGAGCAAAAATAAATTTTCAGTATATGATCGCAAATTACCTTTTCACCTGCAAGGGTATTTAAATTTAAACCTAAAGCATAACCTAAATAAGAGGTATTAAAATTTTCTTCGATAAGTGTAGTATACATTACAGGGTGCGTTAATATGGCTTGTGGAAGCTACAAAGGAATAATAGTAAGATTAAAATTCATCAAATAAATATTAACTAGTTCTTTATTACCAACAAGCATATATTCACAACCGTAAGAAAGGGACATTTCTACCGAAATCAGAGCTTACTTCCCCTAAACAAACGTATAAAAAGGAGGGAAATCCTTCTGTTATACAATTGCTATTGTATCGACTATTAAGTATTGTTTTAGTCATATTTTATGTGATTTTGGTTTCGGCCAAACCCCATTCGGGCCTGCAGCAACACTAATTTGGTAAATCACGTTCTGGCCAAGTGTTGGCCCCGTACGAAAAAGGGGATGGAAAAATGGCGTTCATGAGCCCAGTGTGTATCTACGAAAATCGGACTGTTGGCCATAATGGGCATGTAATTTATTTTTGGTCCTGGACATTCTATATTTGGTCTTATGGGCCATGTTAAATGCCAAGCTGTGCCGTTGTTAACGCATCTCCTCCCATCCACCCCATTGGAACGGGCGTAGCCGCACCTTTTGTTGCTCTCTTCTTTTATTTTATTGTTAAAAAATCGCTTACTTTATGATATTTCGGTGGCCTTTCCATGCTCTCCGATTCCCATGGCTCAGAGGCCTCCGTGTGTGTGTGTGTTGGTCAGCAAAGTTTGGTTTTTATGATTTTTAGTTTCGGCCGAGATGCGTTGGTGCGTTGAAAGGGTTCGTAATGCCTGTGGTGTCTTTGGGGTCGGGTTCATATGGTCTGGCCCATTAAATTAGCCATATTTTTTGCTCATAAGCAGACGCTGAAATTGCATAGTTTATGTTTCGTTCTTGGATACCAAGGAGGGCGGGTTGCTGTAAGAAACCAAAAAGATTTGCTCAATGGGTTGTAAGCATATGGATGGGCTTTCCTTTCGGTGTTATCTATTTGATGGAAACCGAACCGAAACATAAGATAAAACTCTTTGGTTCATGTTAATGCAAAATATACTATACTAAGATATCAGAGATAGTTTAACTTGTGCTCGAGGAGAGTTCTCTTTGCCTGCATCTTCCTGCGCCTCCAATTCCGTTTCAATTTCCCCCTAAACGATGGAAAACTTAAAGTGATGAATTGCACTTGCATCCTTACTGGCCCAAGTCCGAGTCTATTGAACTTTGGCTTCGGTGAATGGTGTGTTTTCCAGATACTATGATAATGGCATCTCCGGTCCACAGCCCTTCTTCGACTCGGAGTGTAACCAGTAAGTGCATATAAATTATTTTCTGAACGGCAGAGGCAGAGGAAATATTTTACACTCGGGGCGGACAGTCCTGGTGCTGGGCGTGGCTGGGGTCCTTTACATATGCCCCGTTGTATCTCCCCAACAAGCTCGTGAATATTTCTGGTCTCCGATGCCGATGTCGATGGGCTGCTTGTCTGGGCCCTGTTTGTTTGTTTGTTGCCTGCTTGCTTGTTTGTTGGCCATGTTCGTGGCACTGCCGCCGCTTTTACGGCCATTGTTGTTTGCATATTTGTATTTAAAAACGGGCAAACACTTTTAACCAAACACATGTAGAGCGGTGTCTTTCTGTCGCTTTCAATGTGTCGCCTGTCGACAAATATAACCGAACATAAATCATCCGTAGCAGTCGCATAAATAATAAATACACACACACACACTGGTGTATGTGGCTGTGTGTTGGCTTTAATGGGTGTGTGCAAGTCGCATGTAGTCTAAATTTATTTTGATTTTCATCATTTAAGGCTTATAAATGTGATGGCAATGGCTTTTATTTTTAGAATTTAAATGTATTGAGACACTTTTGAGTGAGTAATGATAATAATAAGATGAGTAACGCCATTTCAAATGTATAGGCACTTTTCTCTGAAAGTGTTTTAAAACATAAAGCCTTAACGTCTTACATCTTCTTAAATACAATACTAAAATAAACTACAATTCTTCTCGCCTCGCGAAAATCCTGAACCAAAGAATAAATACGAAAACTTGGCAATCGCCCGACTCCTTGGGTGAAATGGACACTAAATTCCCGTCACATGCAAAAGAAACAACTTGAGAACTCTCCTTCCTCATCCCTCCCAGAAATTCGCGCAGTTTGTCATCAACTTTTCGCGGTTTGCTGGCAGCCAAAAAAAAAAGGAAAAACAGATAAATACAGCTGGAAATCCACTTGAACAAATATTAATTTTCCAGCAGTGCGAAAACTGTCGTCAGAGCTCGCCGGCTCTAAAACAACAAGGCCGGGCATTGGCCAGAAGGGGGGAAGAAGGGAGAGTCTGGCTGGAACATGGCTAAGAACATTTCGGCACATAATTCTTTTCCCAGCCGCAAAATAAAAACTGGCCGGAGAAAAAAACAATTTCTCTGGCCAAGCGAATTCATAATTCATTGAGCCAGAGGGGCGAGTGGCAAGTGGCAAGCGGCAAGTGGTGGCGGACCGCACCAAGGGTTGGCTATCATTTACACCATGCATTTCGCCCATTTCCATCTCTAGCGGTCTCGGCCAGGCCCATGCAAAACCCATTTTTTTGTGCTCTGTGCGCTGAAAATTAATTTGCTCACGCGCCAAACGGAAAAACTGCCCGGAAAAGTCTCTCGAGTCCGAAAAAATGGTTTCATCTGCAATGCGACGCAAACAGTTGCCATTTTGCCCCATCCATTCCACAACCCCGCTCCGATCCGCTCCGCCGCCATTTGCCAGGACTCGTGTCCTGAGCTGGTCGTTCATTTTATGCGACGGCCATCGCATAAATTGTACAAAATTTCATACATCAATATGGCCGGGTGAGTGCGAGAAAATGGCGTTGTGCCACTTCGGCTGATTAGGCGGACCGCAAAGACCGCACGAATCCGCGAATATTTCACAGAGCTTGCAATAAAAGCGATACCTATGCAGTTTGGCCACGCGGCGTATGCGCAATATTTGCCACTGGGCAGGTGGCCAAGAAATAAAGTGCCTCGCGTTTTCCGAGCCACCAACTAAATATTTGAGTGGCGTCGTTGTTGTCGCGCCCGAGCCAAGTGACCCATAAAATGTCACCTCTGTTTGCCGCCGCCAACTGTTGCAAGGCAGATCCTTGCCCCGCGCCGCCGCCCGAACGTCATCGCTTTATGGACACCATTTGGTCGTCGTCCTTCCTTCCGCCGGAAAAGAGAGGTTCAATTGCAGCTCAAATTCAGTATTTTCAGTGCCCCGTGGAATATTTTTGAAAGGAGATTTTATGCAGCGTTCACTTTTGGTTTGGCAGCTATTTTTCCTGGTCTCTGTGGCGGGTATTTTACTTTATTTAGCCAATTGAAGAAGCTAGTATGGCTTTATGTGGCTGATATTATGAAGTTCTTGTTTTGGAAGGAAGAAAATTCTTTCCACTGCACTTCAGAGTGGAAAATTGCTTGGCAGTACTTCCATTTCTCTCAATTCAAATTTTTTCAATTCCTCTGACAACTTCGAATGAGTGAGAGAGGCAAAACAAGCTGCGACAGAGCCAGGATAAGAGGATGCAGGACTCTTTGTTGACGTTTCTATTCTATGCATTTATTGTTTGCCCCTTGGGCAGCCAAGAGATTCGAATGCTGTCAAAAAAAGATGAGAAAAAAAAGAAAAGCGGTCACCATTTGAAGGGAAAAAATCCAATTGACATTCCGGGCTCTGTTCAGACCATTTGTGCCCGAGGTCTCTGGCCAGAGTAATTGCGTGCTCCCAGTTTGATTGTCTTTTCCTTATGCAAAACTTTCGGATGCAAACGGTTCAGAGTGCAACAACTTGCGACATAAATATGCATAAGCCCCATGCCGGGCTCTGGCGAATCCAGCTCTGATCTGCTCGAGTCCTGCCTAACAGGACATCCCGCAAATGCACCGCACACGTCCATCAAAGTCAATAGTAGGACCTACTGCTAAGGGATCCCGATGCGGCATTTGCATATTGCATCCTGCAGCTGCTTCAATTCCTGCTCGGCCACTTGCCCGGATCCTTGTGCTTATCGTTTTGCATACGCATTATTTATTAAGGTGGTCCCTGCGGTTCGCCAGGAGTCCAGCGGGGGCAATGGAATCACTGCGGCCCAGGACTCTTCGTTGGGATTAAGTAGGCCTCTCGACCATTCTAAAGCAGGAGCTGGAGTTAGAGTTTGAATTTGAGTTTGAGGAGTTGCAGCCACATCCTGGTTAGGCCGGCAGCTGCACAAATTCCGAAGAGTGATTAGCATGCAGTGGACTCTGTGTCTATTGTTTAAGCAAAACTAATTAGTTTGAGTAATTGAAACTCAAACTAGGGCCACTGCTCGGGGGACTGCCCTCGCTTCCATTGAATTTCCTGCCAGTTCACATATCCCAGTTGCCTTTGTGGTCAACTGCAGTTTCGTAAACGTCGAATTGAATTCCTTCTGATGACTGCCTGGGGCCTAATGGAAAATGAAAGGGGTCTGAGGGAGCGATGTCTCTGGATGCAGATAAATTGAAATGGCAAATGCCTCAGGGTTAATTACAAACGAAAGGTCAAAATCAAACGATAATGTCACTTGAGATTGCACTGCTAATGAAGATTAAGATTGGCCTTTCAACCGAACAATGTACTCAAATGATTCTTTGTTCTGTTTATCAATAATAGATGTAAGATATAAACACCTAAGTACCCAAGATTGTAGCTAATTAGACCTTCTATCTTCTTCTCTTTGCAGCCTACTCTTTTGAGCACAGCACATTAGGAGGCGACGAGTACATCAATAGATACATAATGCTACCAAGCACTGCCATATACAACTGCAATTGATTGCATAGTGAGATCTAACATTTGAATAGCTCCGCATTTTTACAAATCCATTCGAAGATATAGAATAATAATTGAAGGGGAGAACTTTACAAAACATCGGAGACCAAGAACAAAACGCGAGAAGGAGAAAAGCAACACAGGAACTGTAAAGCAAATTAAGAATTTGTATTTAGAGAGCATACAATAGAGTAGCAAAAGCTGCCGCCGGTTTTGCCAAAAGAAATTCATGAAAGAAGCACAAAAACGAGGAACGGAAGCTGAAGTGTAAACTTTTATTGTAAGAAATCGCATAAACAGAATAGAAACACGCTCTTCGGGTTGTAAAGAAAACAAGAAGACAAAAGAAAAGCATAATAATGTTGCAAACAATAAAACATATACTTGCCATATTAATATAAAACGAAAACGTTGAAAGGCGGCGAAAATTTCATAAGATTAGGGAGTATTAAGGGCATCCCAGGTGGACACAACAAAAGGGAATTACACCCCATCCCCAGGAGGACAATGTAAACTGCAGCTGCTGGATAAGGCCGAAGAACCGAAGAACCGAAGAACCGACGAACCGCAGACCGAACCCAAACCCTAAGCGAACATAAATTATTATAATCTAGTAGAAGGCAGAGAACATATCCGCTGGCAACAACAAACACCGAAATAGACTATGAAAAATGCACAACTGAAACTGACTGAAGTTGACGATGATGAGCTGTGGCTGCCAGTAAGATTAGCTCACGGTAGCAGCAGCACCTGCAGCAGGAGCAACAGCGACAGCAAGGAAAACAGCGACAGCAGGAGGAGCCACAACCAGCCACTTAGACAACTGAAACCAAGGAGCTTAAGTACAAAACACCAGGACAACAGAGCACACCAGGCACAGGGGCCGCCAGCGACTGACCAGCATGTAGCCTGCCACACGCGCAGCAATGACCAGCGGCAGCAGCAACAGCATCAGCTAGATAGCAGCAGCAGCAGCAACATGTTGTCCCCGCAGACAGCAGCATCAGTTGCAGTTGCAGCAACTCAAAAACCAACAAACATAAGACTGTGTGCACGCAAGCGAAACAGATTGCGACGACGACGCAAAAGAAAACCAGCCACACCAAGCGAGGCAGCCACATCGGCAACCACTAGCAATAGCAGCAGCAGCAACAGCAGCAACACTAATCTGCATCCCACAGCCACCTACATGCAATGTCGCACCAGCGATGACAGCACCAGCAATCTGAGATCGAAGCACGACCCCTCGCCTGGCCTGCTGCAGGTGTTGCAGGTGTTTCACGTGTTGCAGGTTGCCCTGCTGGCCCTGCGGCGACTCAGAGGGAGCGTTTTGAGCACCACCGCCTTCATTTGCCACTTGGGCCGGAGGAGTAGAGGAGGAGCTCAAAGCAGCGGCAGCAGCAGCACGAGGAGCGGCAGCACGCAAATAATTAACGGACTTAGTAAACACTCATGGATATTTTTATTGATATATTTGAATTTATCTGCTAAAGGTGAGTGCCATCAAAGTGAACCCCTTGTCCCCTCTCAGTTTATCTCGAGTGGCGACCCTTGAGTGCCGTCGCAACGACACTTGCAAGCAACAGTTGCCGCATCGCAGCTACCCCATAATGCACACCGGCAAGAGCAACATATTGTCACTTTGACACAGAAAGCCACTCGGCAATGGGAAACATTGCGGGCCCATTCTGATGTCATTGTTGTTTGTTAGTTGTGACGTTTACGACAGCAAAGTGAGGCAGCCTCAGTCTCAGTTCATACCAGGCCTTGCCACTTGAAGGCGTCTGCGCCTAAGGTTATTTTCTTTCTTTCTTTTTCCAGCGCCCCCACTTCACGAGTCCTTAGTCCTTGTTCGTGGCTAAGGCAGTGGAGGTGCTTCAAAGGTCGTAAGGGCATAAACGTCGTTGGATCAGAGATCAAGCTGAGTGGGAGCGTGGTGAATGACAGGCCCTTTAATTAACATTGCTCAGAACAAAATCGGGTTTTCCAATATGCAATGCATCTTCATATTACCGGAGACGCCTCCTGGCCAAAAGCACTGGTTAATTTAATCAAATTCCCAGCCCTTGTTGACCCAAATTTGCCAGCACAAAAACTATTTCCCAAAAACTAAGCAAAGTCATGTCGAACAATGTGTGGCTGTTGCTGCTGGGAAAAGTTGCAATGCCATAAATACTTTCACAAGCATTTGCTGCACAACAATTTCCCATCTCTTGTTGCTGCCTCCATGCAAGTGGTTGTGGCAAAGCCCTTTGGCTTGGAAAATCTTTTTAATGGTATTTTTTTGCTGTCCTCCCGCCTCCCACCTCTGCTGTTGTGCTGCACTAAAAGCTTAAAAATTCTTTGTCACGGCAACAATATTTTCAACCAGACAAGGACCAAGTTTGGCCAGCAGCTCAAATGCCAGCCATTCTATTAGCAGTCAGAAAAAGCCACCTGAAGACGCCGTGCGGGGAGATGGCTCTTCTGCCACTTACACATATTGGGGTTATTAATGGCTGCCCATATGAGGCAGAACAAGAAGCCCAGAATTCAAAGTGTTGCCAATGTTTCAGGTTCTCGCAGGCCAAGTCGCGTGTCGCTGTTAGCGTGCCAAGCTACGGAAGCGTAAATAAGTACACACTTTGAACAGTGGGGCCAATACATGGAGTACATTTATAAATTAAATCTATTAGTTTGAATTATTACTCTATATTGTCATTACCCTCTCTTAGTTCCCTCTGACATAATGCTTTGGGGGGAATGCTTTAAAAGTTCAACTAATATTCGTTTGATATATAATCTGATAGTCAAGATAGATAGCATTGGTTTGGTTGCAAGAAGATAAAGATATCATTAATTAAGACTTGACTATATAGAAAATCATCCTCAAATTATTCATAGACTGGCATATTACAAAGTTTACACAAGTAGCTTAAATATTTGAATGTAAATAACACAAACTATTCAATGGATATCTACATTAAAGAAAGTTTTCAAAGTTAGCATTATAGCAATATTTAAAGACAAACCACTTCCAAGCCACTGTTCTTACGTGATCATAAATTCGAGCGTTGGCATACGCTGGGCCAATGTCTTTGTGTTTGCAGTCGAAGTCGTTCACTTGCCCCTCCTGCCTCGGATGTCTGTCGGCTTGGCTTTGGGTTCATGTTTCATGCAACACCGACAGCAGCAGCAGCAGTTTCGACAACAATTGCCGCCTGTCCACATGCGTGTGCATGTTTATGATTTTATGGCAGCACTTCCGTTTCCGCCGTGGCCATATTGTACGGCTGCCCGTCGCTCCTCCCCCGCCCAGTGCGCCCAGCTGCCATCACTAATCAGATTTAAACTTTGCACTACGTTGCCAGCGTTGCTTACATCGGATGCGACTCTGGGTCTGTGTGTTACTGTTACAGCGCTTCAGTGTTGCCAAAAGTGGGGTTAAAAAGCAGGAAAAGATATACAAATATAATACATATATTTAATTATATCAAAATATGATATAGTTATCACTATTGCTTTAGAGATGAGTTTTATTTATTGGTAATTATTTGAATATTTTCAAAAGTATAAGAGTTTTATATCAGAGCTAAACAAATTTTGGCAAGCGATTTACTTGTAATTTTTTTGAAAAAATACAAATATATTATAAGACACTTGATTCTGCCTAACATTAAACAAAGGAAGATGAATATGTTTAGAAACAAGACCGAATGGCAACACTGCTGGTAATGCCACATACTTCATCGTTGTGCCGAGTCTGCGCTTGCCCTATGACATCGTTCATACGCCCCGTTGGCCAGCCAAGTGCCCGTTCCACTTGTCCGTAGTCATCTTCTCTAAGTATGACATTTATTGCCACGGAAAGGCTTTTGGCAGGCATCAAGACTTTAAGAATTCCCGTTCTTGAAAGAAAAGCCTTTTAACAGCACTTCATATTTTATTTACCTTCAAAAATGTTGTTACCATTTTTAAATTACTTGACAGTCAAGTTTTCAATGAAAGCTTTAAGATTTTATAACATTCTTAATTCAAATGGAATGTTACCCTAAGAAGTTCTTCAGGAAAAAACTAGGGATAAATATAGTATTAAACTATACCAATCCTATATTGGCCTATCCCAAAGTATCATTTATTATTCCACCATTTTTTTTTTTTTTTGTAAATGTTTGGAAATGTCAACTCCTCTGGGCTCTCCACACTTGCATACACGTCGGGTGAAATTCGATAAATGTCAAAGGAATCCTTCCATCATTAGCTAAAGGCTTCTACAAGAAAGGAAAACACAATGTCATCCCTGCCATTTGCATTATGAAACTCATCCGAACCCAGATGCTCGCACACATGGGTCTGAGACAGATGATGGGCCCATCAGCCAAATACAAATAATCCACGTCCCATCACCACTCCCGAGGAGTGTTTTACAAAGGATCTGACCTGCTGGAGTAGCTGACGAGTACTGGGGGCTCTGAAATGTGGGCTGGGCTAAAATCAATCATCAAATGTGATGGCATTCATAATTTTCAATAGTGGACACAAGGCATTTTGATTGATCGCCTTGTCAGAGTATTCTCCGAAATGACAGAATTCTAAGCACTGAGAATAATTTTGTACTAGCTTCTAACTAGACATTAACTAATTAAAAAGGAGAGTATTATTTATTTCATTTATATATAATATAAAATTTTAAATATATTGACCAAGTAAGTGCTGTCCTCGTTTCGAAGGTACTACCTTTGCTTTTCAAGTGCTTCCTTCCCTTCTATTCCCAGTTTATCTTTGTCGATAGCTGTCTATCGATTTGTTTCCATTTTTAAGCCTGCCTCTGTCTCAGGTTACACCAGCCTCCCCTTTTTGTGCCCGAAAAGGGAAAACGGAAACAAGAAGTCATAAGCAATTAAATGTTTGCCCAGCCCCAAGCCCCATCCAATTAGAGGAAACTCAATGTGTGGGATGGAAGAGGAGCCTCGGAGCGGAGCCTTAGCGTTGGAATTTTTATTGCATAAATTAAGCTTTGAATGGTTAAGCGTCACCTTGGCGCTATTAAAATGCCTGCTTCTGGGTGCTCTTGTATCCTTATTTTTCCCTTTGCTCCATCGTTTCTCTGTGCTATCCGTGTTCTCTGTTGGGTAGCCCAGGACCCGCGGTTCCTAGCAGACAGCCATTAAGATTCATCACTTTGGTCCCTTTCGCGAAGCGCCCTCTCCCCTTTCTGTATTGGTTGTGTGAGCCTAAGTGGTTTAGTCCTGCGACAGTTTTCCTCTTTCCCCCAGTTCTTACTAGTCGAAATATTTTTTCTCTCTTCTGAGGATGTTCCACTCAAAGAATGTAACGGAGTACTACTTAATTGCTTTTAATTCACTTTCAACTTCCCTGAAGATTCATTTTAAAAATTTAAAAATCAGCCGAAAAGCTATTCTCTTTTTTTATAAACATTTTCGAAAACCAAATATTTATTTAAATCTCTGCAGTATAAATATTTCTTTTAAATATTCTTGTAAAGTGATCCGATTACTAAAAGTGATTATTGCTGGCTCTAAGTTCATGAAGGACATTCATTTGGCCCGAAAACCGATTTAAAGAGACCTTGTATATATATACTTTTTCGGCCATATTTCGGTTGCCCATCGAGAGAGCGTTGGCCAATTTGCTCTCGTTATTATTGCTGTTGTTGCGGCGTGTGTTTTGGTAGGCAGCTGCATTTTCTAACCAATTTTGCTTGCTTTTTTATTTTGCACATTAAATTGGCTCGCTCTACTGCGGTTCCCCGCAGCCCCTCTGTGGCGCCTCCGCCGCTCCTGAATGCCAACCCATCGGCAGCTGTTGCCGCCTGCCGCCTTGCGCGGCAACTCCCCTCTCTGTCTGGCTTGGCTTTGTGAAATAGCAATTACTTTTTCATGCTCCACTGCAATAAAATTGCAATTTTATGCGGCCTGCCGAAGGACAATAACAGCAACAACGTCAGCAGCTACAACAGGACAACAAAAACAGGGAAATAACGAAACGGAAGTGCAGCCATTGAAAAGGCATTTCGAAATGGCCGCAGCCTGTGTAAGGAAGAGGAAAGGATGGAAAGGGGAGAACTCGGCTAAAGTTGAAAGATGAGTCGACTATCCGAAAAGTTGGAATAAAAAGTCACGAAAACCGAAAGCTAATGACTTTTGATGTACATATATATGTGCCAGTCGTTAGGAAACTCTTCAAGAGAGAATTTCATTAAACTCATTTATTTAGTAATAAATGGTTCTTAAGTTTTTCTAGATATTTCAATTATGAATTTCACTTCTTCTACTGTAATTTTGAGGACTAAATAGAGTAACAAAGAGTTTAGTTAGGAGCTATGTTCCTAAAGGAGTTACAATCTTAAAGGAGTAACAAAACATTTAATATTTCTTACAAATTTTAACACTCATTGTAGTAAATTCCTATGAATAAACTCAATTTTTGTATTTATTCAAAACACTGCAAGTTGCATTATTTAAAGCAATAATGTTTTTGATTTTCTTCATAATATTTATGGCAATAAGAAGACATTCAGTATAGATCTAGTAATAGATCCTTTTGTGCTATAAACTTGTGTCACTGTTGAGTTAATTTAAGTTTCATGCGGAACATTTCTGGCCACATGGATCCTTTTTCTCGATTCTGTTGCATTTTTGTAGTACTTACACTCTTTGTTTACGATGGTTAGACAACAAGAGTAAAATAGAAACAAAAGTCCCGTCTCAGGATGGCGTAGTCAAAAGTCGGCAAAAGTCGCCTTTGTGTCCAGTTACAATGGCCGCCCCGATACTCAGGATCTCTGGCAGGCTCTCATATTTGTTTTATTATCACATTCATTTTGACACTTCATCAGACGTTGGCCTCTTTTTTTACCCTGCTGTTTTTGTCCTTTTCCGAGCCTCTGTGTTGCTTTGTCCTCACAGTCAGTCCTCGCTGGTGTCAATGCTTTGCCTTAAAGGCCTAAAGGACCAAGCCCCCCCAGCACTCGCACTCATTGTTGCCCTGTGCTCGTTAGCTGCAGTTTTTCTTCATCTGCCGTCGCCCTTTTGCCTAGCCTGCAGGCTCGTCATTTTGTTTTAATATTAAATGAACAAGGAAGAGAGGGCCGCGTGAAAAGCGAATGAAATGTGCAAAAACGGGGCTCCTTGGCGGTGAAAGTTGCGGAGAGAACTGGCTAGCGGAGGACTGAAGACAAATTAAAACTAAAAAATTCATGTGCATAATTTCTAAACGCTGTTCATTTCGTATGCAAATCTTTTGGCCTGGGCCGGCTAAGCTCCTAGAAAGTGAAAAGTTTTCTATGCAAAGCAGGATCTCACCATTCTGTGGCACAAAAAGAGATGCATAGCTTAATTTTTGAGTCTAAAAATACAATGCAATTCGCACTTCCCTTCAGGATCCTGTATTTATTCTATATTTGGATTTGCAATATCTGTTTTTCCATTATAAATTACAAACCGTATATTTTGCTGATTGTTGCAAAGGGTGAAAAATGGAAGGAAATCTCTTAAGAAATTATCAAATTGAGAGGCAAAGAGCAGGAAGCAAGGAAGTTTGCCTGCTCCACAGAATCAAGCAACTTCATCTAGTTTCTTTTGTAGTTTCATCTGCTGCCCACATTCATGCATAAATAATTCCACGATAACGATGCGAATATGTCCGTCCGTGCATGTGTGTGTGGGGGCAATCTATTATCGCCGGGGAAAAACGTAACAAGAAAATTTGTATGTGAAAAACTTTTGCTCAATAAAAGTTTCCCTTTGTTATTCGCCTGCCGAAGAACAATAGTCGCTCTCACACAGCCAGCAAAGACATATGTGTGCTGGGAAGGGCGATGAGCAAAAAGGGCAAAAAGGATGCAAACTTTCTGCCACCATTCTTTCGAAGAACTCCTTCTTTCTGTTGCCTTTCCGAGCCAACGCTGCCCCAGTCCAAGGAGCGAGGCAAGCAGAGCTGCAGGAAGCCAGGACTCGTAAACTTTTGCATATCAATAAATTTTAGTTGCCCGCCTTTCTTCCCCTGCAAAACCAAAACCCATTTGCCGAATTATTGATGTTGATTTGCGGCGCTCCTGTGAAAGGGCAAACAATTACTGCAGTCCTTTTGCAACATTCCCACTGCCTCAGTCCCTGCCCCATTCGCAACTAAGTTGTGTCTACTAATGCGAATTTTATTTACTTGCAGTTTGCCTAGCAGGATATCATGAAAAGAGACTGTTACATGATCTTTTGGATCCTTATAATACACTAGAACGTCCCGTTCTCAACGAATCGGACCCGTTACAATTAAGCTTTGGTTTAACTTTAATGCAAATTATCGATGTGGTAAGTACTTAATGTTAAATAATGCATTATTACGTCTTTAAGTGTTTATATTCACAAGATAATAATATAAATTGTCTAATTGTTGGTAATTGTGTTTTGTAGAAACCAAATATGCAAAAGTATTATAAATAAAATCAAGTATAAAACGATTATTGATTATTCCATGTAAATGAAACAGATTTCTAATAGTTATAGAATCGACATAGTTCGAAACCATTTAGACAAATAGAAGAAGTTAATTACTTTATTTATACCCAGTATGTATTCAAATTATCAGAGTACACCCGCACAAATGTATTTAATATATATTACTTTACTATTTTCAAATTAATAAAATTTTTACTGAATTCAGCTGGACAAAATCATCATTCCAGCACTTATTCCAACACAACACAGATAGTTTCCTTCTGATTAAAACCCAAATAGACTGGATTTAAGAACATCCCTTTAATATCCAGTTTAATACAGCGACAGTTCTGTGCCTGCAAAAAGCACTTTCAGTTTCACACTTTTACTGTCCCCCTTTTTGAAGGCACCTTTAAGTTTGCAGCTGGAAAAAAGAATCCCTGATGACACAATTTGGTCCCTCACAAAAGTGAATTGCCAAGAAAGTGAAATTTTAATTATTTGCCGGAGAGGCATACACACACACTGGGACGGTGTGGGTCCTGTCTGCTGCCTGTTCCTTGAATGGCAGGATACCCGTCCTGCCGCTTCCATGGCCTATTTGCAGACAGGACACACGAATACACATTACACATTACACAGCCCCGTCCTGACTGGCAGTGTCGAGCAAATTACATGCAACGTCATGTGGCATGTGCGGCGGTTGGCTCATTTTCACCTTTCGTGTGGGCGAACTGCATTCATCAGTTGGAAAAACTTTTCTCTAACTCACAATTGCGTAGAGGGCAAGGCGGAAGCACAGAGGGGGAAGGAGGGAGTTAGGGAACCCGGAGCAAGGACTGGTGAACGAATAAGGTGCAAAACTGTCGGAAAAGTCGACGCGAGGCGTTTGCCTTTGTTAGTGAGACAACCTCGATTCATATTAGATTTGCATTGCATTTGTCCGTGAGTGTGGCTTGTTTGTTTGCCTATCCCGCACAAAGTTGGGATCCAGCAAAATGGAGCGCACAAACAAAAGGCACTCACACACGAGGCATGAAAGGCAGCGGCAGCGGCAACGGCAACACAGCAGCGCCCGAAAGTTGCTGTTGGCATATAGGACATACATACAAGCGTGTTGCAGAGTCAGGAAGGAGCTGGGGAGCAGCAGAGCTGTTGGTGGCAGGAATAAAAACGAAAACGATTCCAGACGCTAGAAAACTGCGCATTCAGTGACGCGCTAAAAGTCACACATACGCAAACAAATACACTTGAACCAACTGCAAACAGCAAAAAGCAATAAGAAATACACAGAGAGAATATTCAAGACCCAGCTGCATGAACCTCATTTTTTTTGTAAGAAGTAAGGAAGTTATTGTTCAGTTATTATTAAATTCTCTCCTTTAAATATCATAAAACCACAGCCCAAGTTACGCCATACTTTTATATTATACTCGAATTTTCGGTGCTGAATCTACTTTATTAATCAGACTGTAATGATATTTTGTTTAAAACCTATAGAGAAACAGCAATATAGAGACAGTCGGTCTTTTCTACGCATTCTAGATCAATGCGCCCACAAACGCACTATCTTGATTACTCTCATAACTTGAAGCGAGCTAATACAGTTTAAATATCCCTGCCAGCTGACATGAATTGTCGTTATGCATCTTATTATTAAAGAATCTCTACTTCAACCCTATCACGAGATGCACAATAATTGCACAAAAATGTCTAATAGATCCGTTAACCGATTGTTTTGGATTGCTATATAACCCTAAAATTCATTTAGCTTGCAATAGCACCTGAAGTCTACTAGGATCGCTTGGATTTATTTAATTGAATCATCGATTTAGACTATTATTTAAACATCGAGTTTTCCCTAAGATATATCAAGATTTCGGTCAGTGCATTTATAATAAAACACATACGTACACACTTGGCATGCAAATAAAATGAATAAATAAAATTTGCACATGTGCTTTTCACACCTTGTGCCAAAACATATAAACCCGAGGGCTCGCGGTGCTTCCAGGTGCTCCGTGAGGGAAAAGCAATGAAGTGCGAGTTGCTGATGTTGCTGCTGTTGCTGCTGCAAAATGAAGTTGAAAGAACGAAGCGAAACGAATGGGCACAATGCGCAGTGGCAGTCGTTGTTTGGTGGCAGTAAAAACTGCAGCACGCACACTCGAAACGCAGCCCAGCAATTACAGGTAGCTGGATACCTGAGTACAGGGTACAGGGAACTGGGAACATAAAAACCAAAATCGGGTCATTTCTTTAACATGAGGGGCGGGGAAACTGGGGATGCCAAACTAGGGTTTATGAGCCCTGCGGCGTACTCAGACTTTTATGGCCCACTGTAACTGGCCCGCTTAGATGTCACGGCAATCAAAAGTTGTTAATGACTGACGGGGAATCGTAATCGTAAGGAAATTAGTTGCATATGGTGCGATAATAAAGGATATTGCTCTCTTGCCGCCCCCTCCATCTTGGCTGGCATTTTCTTTTATTTTTGCCCCTATAAAGGAAACGATTTTCCGAGCATTGCAGGTCACCGATGCCATTAGTTGGCCATTGGGATTGGGAGTACCCAAGCGCTTAACACTGGTCATATTTTTGTAAGTTAAGAGCGAGTCCCTGCTGCATTTGCATGCAAGCACCGAGTTCAGGGAGTGTAATGAAAAAATTGATACATTGAATGTAATGTCCACAGCTTCTTTGTACCTTGGATACATTTATTTGGAATATGTTAATCGGTATCACAATCATAATATCTGTACCATATGGTCCTCATCTGATCACATGAAAAATAAATTTAAGACCGCTTTCTGTTGCTGTTCTTTCCTACTTCCCTTGTGCCTTGATTTGGTTAAGTTTCCTGACTGGTTTTCCATTAGAGATCATTGATCACTATTCAAGATTCAGATAATGGATACTTCTGATGAAATAATCAAATAAAACTACTTCAGGACCTTTGGGTTAACTTAAACCTCAACCAAATAAACCTTGAGAAAGAGAGAAAAGCGGGGTCAAGTTAGATTAGCAAATATACTTTTAGGGGAAATCGTTTTCTTTAGCCAAATTAGCGACAATCAAGATGCAGTGGGAATTACCGAAAACTAAGCTGAAAAAAAATTAAGCCAAGCAAGAAAGGGAAAATAGGGAAATGGAAGTGGAAAAGCTCGCAGAAAGACAAGTCTTTCTCGTGGAGGAGACCAGGCGGGTCGAGGAGCGAATCCTTGGAAGCAAGGATGGCAATGGGGGGGAGATGAGAGTACGAATAAACAACTCCCAGGCGCATTAATTAAAAAGGAGCAGACAAAGCGAGGCGCAGATTAATTGCCATCAATGCGAGAAAGGCGGCAGGCAGAAGGAGGGCTCAGATAAAGGCCAAGACGCGAGGAGCCGCGCAAGGCTGTTGTGGAGGAAGTGATTAAGGAGGAGCGGCAGGACGACGGATTCCGGCGGTGGATATCAACGGATATCAGCGGAAAATGAGTAATGAAGAGATGGGGCAGGCCATTTTTTATGCATACAGGACAATGTGAAACTAGGCCTGGGCCTGTGTGCGATTGCGATTTGTGAGTGTGAGTGAGAGTGTGCGTGGAAATGAGCGCCGCGTTTTATGCTACAGTTTCAGTCTGCTCCCGAGTTGGCTTCCTTTTTGTTTAAATTCTACGAACGTTGTTGTTGGCTTGGCATGTCAATGAACTGGCCCCGCTGGTGTAGGTGTAGGTGTGTGTGTGCCCAGCGAAAATATGCTTTTTCGCCACACACACGTATGCAAATTCCCGCACTCGAACCCAAAAAAACTTGTCTTTGGCTTCGGGAAAAAAAAGAACGAAAGCGGCGAAATAAAAACTCCTGGGCTGTAATAATTTTGCCGTTTGCTTTTTCTGCTCATTTAAAATTCAACAACCGCCGCTCGCAGTCGCCTTTTATTTATATATATGCCTCCTTCGGCAGACACACTCACATAAGCGCAAATACATTCATACATACGAGCACTATTTGAATGCGAATAAGCCTCATTTAAACATGGCCTGTTCCTAGAATGTTTTTCAGCCGCAGTTGCACTAAGAAAAACAGTCAAAAAGCAGGTGGATCTGCTCTTTTTAAGTAACAGTACGTGATAAAATAGTCTGGAAATGTTTAATAACATTAAAATTCTGTTTTATAAGACTAAACCCCTTTGTATGGTAGCAAACAATCAAATAACTTGAGTGTAAAAGCACTTGAAGTAAAGCACTACCTCGGTTTTATATTTGTATTCCTTCTACCACATTTAACCTCTCCATCATTTTGCAATTAAATTTAATTATTTTTGCTCACAAGTTTCATGTTTATTTTTTGTGGTTGTTAGTTTCATAATTGTGTGTATTTCTTTTAATTTAAATAAACATGCAAGCTCAAAATTTCAATGGAATAGAGAACTGGAGGTGCAAAATAAAATAACATGCAGACGGGCAACGTTCTGTCAAAAGCTGGCAGTTGATTGTGAGGCGAGAGATTTATCAAATTAAAATTAAAGAGGATTTAAACAGGGTGGAAAATTCTTTAAATAAAACTTTCCGCGAACGTTCTGGTTGCTCTGTGGTGAACCCATCTGGCCTAACGAATTATGCGCACCAAAAACACACTCAATCCGTAGAACGCCCAAATTAGTGAGCGTCAACAAAAACTCAATTTGGAAAACGGATTTTATTAGGTCGCTCTCGACACTATTTCCGCCCAGGACTCTCCCCTCCCCTGCATCGCGATGGCTGGATAAAATCCTGGCATACTTTTCACCGTCAACCATTTGTTTGTCTGCTGTGGTCGCCATTGCAAAGTGCACCGCAAAACATAAGTGTGTGTCCTGTGTGTATCCTGTGTGCTGGAGTGGGAGAACGAGAGGTACGGAATGGACTCCGCTGCAGTCAAGTGCAATAATGTAATGGCTATATTTAGCCAGGACACGTTCCATGTTTGCCTTTGCACTGCGATATGACCGCAATATTGCCGAGTCCTGCCACGTCGCTCCTTTGCAGCGTTATATTTGCCGCATGTTTCGATTTTGTTAGCGAACTCCCCGTAGATGGTACATTGAAGGGAGGTCCTCAATGATGTCCATTTCACTTCCCGTGCATTCTTACCGAATATTTCGGGCCCATTTTGTGATTGCACTCGCACACTGACTAACGGAAATTGTTTGGTCAAAATATTTGTGCAATGCGAAGCCAGAGCTCATCCCGAATCCTTCGCTTCCGCTCCGTTCCAATACTCCGTGCTCCTGGCTCCCTTTGTTAGTTAAGCACCTGAGATTTGCTTTTTGGTATTCTTTTTTCAATTTTCCAAAGCGAGTTTTGTTTTTCCCATTTCATTCCTGCTTTTGTATGTTCACCGAGTGAGCCATGAATATTTAAGGCATTTAATTGTAAATTACACATACGTCCTGTGGGCCGCTGTTTAATTTTTTAAGCGCAACTCTCTGGTTTCACTTTGGTTATTGGCCTGCATCCCCGGGCGAATCGGTTAGGCTGAATATCAAAAATTTAACTCACTTTAAAATTGGTCCAAAAAAATCCTAAAAAGAAGCTTATTCAAAGTTCTTGTATCGTAGACTTTAACAGAAACCAATAATATTATATAAATACATAAAGTAATAAAGCTATAGAAATACTTTTTGTTTTATATTTACTTGTAATCCAATTTTAAAGAACTCTTTTTTTTTCAATTACAATGCTTGCTGGATGTGAGCCAGCAAATTCCCCAGAAGCTGGCATCCGCTGCGGCAGGATATACTTTATAAAAAAAAACTCGTAACCAGCGCGAAATTTACAGTCAAACTTATATAAATATATATTGTGCTTTTTTATGCATGTTAATTATTAATACCACGGAATGTGGATGTGTGTAATTAACTTCCTGTTGGACTTCCATTTGTTCTTTCCGCCGCAGGACGAGAAAAATCAATTGCTAGTCACGAATGTGTGGTTGAAACTGGAGTGGAACGACATGAATCTGCGCTGGAACACCTCCGACTACGGCGGAGTAAAGGATCTGCGCATACCGCCGCACCGCATCTGGAAGCCGGATGTCCTGATGTACAACAGTGCCGACGAGGGGTTCGATGGAACCTACCAGACGAACGTGGTGGTGCGGAACAACGGATCCTGCCTGTACGTGCCGCCGGGGATCTTCAAGTCGACGTGCAAGATCGACATCACGTGGTTCCCCTTCGACGACCAGCGCTGCGAGATGAAGTTCGGCAGCTGGACCTACGACGGATTCCAGGTTTGGTTCAGTCTCCCACCCAAGCAAGGCAACCAGGAAGTACTTACTTACCGAAAAGAACTCGTAGTTGTTATGCTTGACCGATTTATTCGAGTGTATTTTTACGACTTATGATTTCCTCGGTTTACTTTTTGCATTGATTCGATGCGAGTGAGATATTTACATTATTCTACCCCTCTCCCCGATACCGTATAAAAAGCTGGATTTACAATTACAAGATGAAACTGGCGGTGATATCAGCAGTTACGTGCTCAACGGCGAGTGGGAACTACTGGGTGAGTAAGCCAACGTCGTCCTGGGCGACAGCCTTCCTCTACATACTTCGACATCCAAACCCAGACTCTGAGCAGGCGGTCTCCCGCTCTTCAGACAGATAAAAAATTGAGAAATTACCTCCCGCCTGGGTGTGTGTGTGTGGAAGTGGAAGTAGAAATGGAAATGGAAATGTAAATGCAAATGCTAAAGCGAGGTAGAGCCAACACTGCTTCGCCCTTTTGGCGAAGAGACAATAAAGACTCGCTGCTCCTCCTTCGCGGAGTTTGCCGGCCTTGCGGCTGATTTATAGCATACTTTTGTGGGCCCACAGAGGGACACACGCACACACAGATATAAACATCTTCTCTCTATCACTTTCTCTCTCTCGCTCTATCTCTTACTTACTCTCTGTCACTCTCGAGCAGGGTTCAAGCTGCGAACTAAAGTTCCGAACTCGTTCCGTTCGAAACTCCGACTGTTTGCCCATCGATATGTGATTGAAATCAGGGTTGGCGGTCGGCCAACATTTCAATCATCTAGAGATGGAAGAGTTACGTCACTGCTATTTGATACTGTTCTCTATATACTATATGTACTCTCAATTTCATTCAATTTTCGAGGTCAATGAATACGGAATTAAGTAAGGCACTCAATGAACCCTGTTGTAATCCCACCCAATTACTCAAATACTTTCGTACTCCACCCGAAAATCACACGCTTATCCAGTGTTCTCCCACTCACTCAACTTTCAAAACAAGACAACCAAATCAAACGCAAAACTCCCTTGGGCGCTTTAACTTCTAAAGTCCGAAATAGCCGCGTAAACATAATGTTTACTCTCAGTAAGAGTCCTGCTTGGTGGAGCATACTGCCAAGTATGCTGCTCCAACCGCAGGCACCACTAAGTTATTATTTAAACCGATCAAGAGGTAAGGCCCGGCCCCATGTATGCAACTATTTTAGACTATTTTTCCGGTAACTTCGAACCGTTTTCCTAATCGAAGCTAAGGCATGTGGCTAGCAAGTAACATAAGTGAAAAGTGAATGCTCAATAGAAAATGCTTAAATGCTTAACCCGTATATAAAACATATCTCGGGATATATGTACAATATATAGAGATATTTTTTGCCTTTTGTCTATCTATCTATCAGTTTGTAAACAGTTTAAGGGAAGACTTAGCCTGATGTGTAATGTTAATTAAACTTGTCATGTTTTTGTTACCTTTTCTTGTTTTCTAATTGAGATATAGTTAGTAAATGAAACGATCAGGAAAATGTATGTATATAAGCTTAGGGAAAACACATTCGTAATTGCCTAAATTGCAGACTCCTCAAAGAAACTATACAACCGCAGAGAGTGCGTGCTGACTGAACAGAACGGGGAAAAATTAAATAGTTTTATCCTTTCAACGGACTTGGAAGCATGCAGCAAAACCAATTAAGAAATTAAAAGACAAATAGTACTTGTGCATCCCCACATCTAGTATAAATTAGAGCCCATGCAGACATAGAAAGTTTTCAACTCAACACTGGCCACAAAAGTGCAAAAGAAAAATTTGTTTTAGTTTCATTTGCGCAACTCCCTTAATTTTCCTCTTTCTGGTATTTTTTGTTTTCTAGTTCTCTTCCTCTCCTATGTCTGGGCGTAGTTTTTAGTAAAACTTTCAAAGTTCCTCGCCGGATTTTTGTTTTCCTCATATATCCCTTGTGTTCTTTTTTCAATGCGCATTTGCGGCTTCCCTTTCTCTGCCAGATTATGCAAATTATTTGAGTTGGAAAGTGCTCCTTGAACGAGTAACTGCTTGTGGAAATTCGGGAGGTGTCCTTAAATGTAGCTGGGTCATTTTTAAATACGCAGCCAAGGCATTCTGCTCGCACTCTCCGCCTCTAGTAATCCGCCTGGTAATCCGGGAGTAAGTTGAGCAAATAATTTAGCTAGAAGTTTCGTTGTCCGCCAATCTCCGGGCCATGCTTTTTGCGCAAAAGTTTTTATTGCGAATATGTTCGCGAGGCAGTCGAGAAGGGACGAAAGGACGAGGGGAAGGGCAATTAGGAGGCTGCCGGCTAAGAGGACTCCATGTCCTTTGAAAGGATGCACTTTTAAATTGAAGATGACGCAGCTTAACAGGGACTCGAGAAAAGCTTTTATTGTTTGTTCTTCCCAAGATTTTAGTTAGTAAAAGTTTTTGTATGAGTAATTTAGGCGAACTAATATTTAATTTGCCAAGATTCTAGCTAAGGACTATGCAATGAGTAAAATACTTAAGGCTTATGATCGAATCGTGATGGCTGTAGCACAGGTGACTTGAGATGTACAGCCCTGAGGCCCTGCTTACACCACTCCACCCTAAAACTACTCAACTTACCCTGATTTTTGTATATGTATATGCATACTTGAACAAACCGCAAGGAATTTCTTATCTCTAAATAACTTTTCTACTACGTACTTACATTTGGAAGGCGAAGTGCATAAAAACTTCTCCGTAGTAAATTGCTCGGCTTGACTCTACTACTCTGCTCTGCTCTGCTCTTACTTAACTTTAATTACAATTAGTTGCCTAGACAAATAAAACTCTTCCGAACTAAGTTTACACTCAACTAAACATTACCCAGGCATGCACACCCACACTGCACACCCTACACACACCTCCCCACATGCATACGGGCATTTCCCGCTCCCCAAAAAACCAATCCTTATTGGGAACTGTAAATGGCAATAATGCTTCAATTACACTCACAGCCACTCTAGTCTTGATCTGCTCTGCTCTGTTACTCTGAAACACGCTTTTACCAATCTATCTACCCCTTACTTAATCTAACTCTTGTAATACGCTCTGACTCTGAAAAAGATGCCAAGTAACATACTAAGTAAAGACTGCCAGAGATACCATACATATCTATATATCTCACCGAAACAAAAATAATACCGACCTCGAGACTAACCCCATCCAGAATATCGCATAACCCCTCTCTGTGTTCAATTAAACCATCGCAGGTGTGCCTGGCAAGCGTAACGAGATCTATTACAACTGCTGCCCGGAACCCTATATAGACATCACCTTCGCCATCATCATCCGCCGCCGGACGCTGTACTATTTCTTCAACCTGATCATACCCTGTGTACTGATTGCCTCGATGGCCCTCCTCGGATTCACCCTGCCGCCGGATTCGGGTGAAAAATTATCGCTGGGTAAGTGAACGGGGCGATAGTGCCATGGGGATGTGGCTTCGAGTGAGCTACATTAATTTGAAACCACTTATGCAACACAAATACTCGTGCTCAAGGATCCAAAGGGATGGCGAGGGGCGCCCACACATGCCAACAGCTTAAGAGGCGCTTCGAAAAGTATTTTCCAAGTACTTTTTAAATAATGACAGGCTTCGTCGGCGTCGCTAACAGCGCATTTCACATTAGATGCCTTTCATAATAGTGTTGATGAGAATAAGCCCTTTGGGCTTTGAGTAGGAGCTCCTTGTCCGATCGACAGACATCACACATTCCCCCTAAGTGGCATCGTGAGCCCGATGCCTGATGCCTTCTGATGACGCTAGTAAACAAACTATTGAACTTTTAATGCCACCATGGCTGAGTAGTAAAAAGTATTTCCGACAATGCCTTTGGCATTTGCAAGGACTGGGCACACATTACCAAAATAGAAATAAATGACTAGCAAGTGGGTGCTGCAAAGTGCAAGGCTCCGACTTCTGATAGAGAGCTTAAAAGATATTAAGAGTTGGTTTCAAATATGGCAAAGTCATTGTGTTGCTTGTATTAAAAGTACTTCTGACTGAAATTATAATACCCTGCAAGGGTATAGTACTACTGGCTATGAACGCTACATATTAGAACGACGAAATTTGGATTTTCCGTTGTTGTTGATTGTGCGACATCACGGTAGATCCAAAGACACCATAAGGAAGAAGATGAGTAACTCGCATTCCCTTGATTGAGAGCATTCCTATTCTAAGTTGTCTTTGGTAGGTTGTTGATTCGGGATTTGCTGCTGGAAACTATAAATGATAAGTCTCGTAACCGTATTATCTCATTTCTTAATGGAGTCTTCCCATCTGATATCTAGGTGTTACCATCTTGCTCTCTCTGACCGTGTTCCTCAATATGGTTGCCGAGACAATGCCGGCCACATCCGATGCAGTGCCACTGTTGGGTAAGATCATTTTGTTTACCAGTAGTATTCGATGGTAGAGTTTGTTGTAACCGTGTTCCTATTCCTATTATATCATGTATTCGCTGTGTATACTTAATGCCCTTGAGTTCACGTTTTCACTTTAGTTGACGCATTCCATTAAATAATCATTTATCCTGTGTTACTCTCATACATACATATATCTATGTACTCGTTTATAAATATTTCTAACGTTGCAGTTGCAAATCCATTTAATATACCCATGCATTTCTAAAATGATTTTAAATCGAAATAAAATCCGATGATTTTATAATATTAAAACCTTGACACACAACTAAAAAACTCGAAAAACGAAATCAAATTGATTTAAGCAGCATTGGCGTTTAATACAATATTTCTTTGGCAGCAAAGTCAAATGTTGTTCAATAATATTTGGCTATGAAGCTTTAAGAGAAATACCAGCTGATGCAACAAAAAACTAATAAAAACAAAAATCCAATATTACGTAGAGAGTGATTAATAATAATTAATCATAACTAGAAGGGCATATAAATGTTGATATTAAATATATGATAAAAATATGATAAATATTCCTCTTATATATATGTGAACATAATCAGCGAAAAGTGCTCAATATTTATGTAAATTTAACACACGAGTTGGTTTGAAAAATGCACACTTATTTGACAACGAGTTTCTTGCACGTTATAAATATTCTTTATTTCGGTTGTCAAGATATGATACAATTTTATACTTATGGTAGAGCTGTTTTTGATGCATATATACATATAAAAAAATAAATACATGCATAAATTACTTGCAAATACCAGAAACTTTCGAACTATTTACAAGTTAAGATAAAGTTTAAACTATGCAGGACAGATTTCAATTAATGATTGTTCCCTAAATTTTGTATAACATTTATATTTCTTTTCTAACTCTTGTCGTTTAATTATGCTGCTAATAATCTAAAATAAAACTTTATTTATAATAATAATTATTAAGTTAAAAAATTATGATAAAACAGCAGAAGGAAACAGCTCCACCATAGAATCATATGATAATACGAATAATTGCAGACAATCGATCAAAACGAATTTTTCAATCTCTGAATTGGTAATTTCTTTCTCAAAAAAGCGCTTACAAAATTAATAAATAATCTTGTTAAACTTATTACGTTCTTGGCGTACACTTTTCGGTGTTTAATTTCTATGTATATCTAACCTTTTTCTGAAACATACAAATTAACGTTAAATTCGTGTGTGTGTGTGCTTTAAGAACGAAAATAAATCTATATGTTTTTTTTTCCACTCGAAAATAACATTTGCTATGCCATTTTAAAACGAAAAATAACAACCTAACCGAAAAAAATCTCGCATTTAATGAACTAACTAAAATATTTTGTACATATTTCTTGCCTTTTTCTTTCTTTCAAACAAACTATGTACCTACCGCAATAATGATATGTGCTCTCAAAATGCATATAACTCAAAACCAAACCAAAACCGTACACTATGAATGAATTCCGAACTTTGAAATATGCGTAACCCCGAACGAACTAACACAACATCAAATACCAAATACCAAATACCAATCCAACAATATGAAATGAAACAATAACCCGATCCACACGCACCACTTAACAAATACAATTTATTCACACACTCAACTTAATATATATACCTTCTATATATATATTGACAACACGCCCAACCAACCAACAGGTACATATTTCAATTGCATAATGTTTATGGTAGCTTCATCCGTTGTGTCAACGATTTTAATATTAAATTATCATCATCGAAATGCTGATACGCACGAAATGTCCGAATGGGTAAGTTGCAAATAGGTCAACCCAACAACCATCTCAAACAACTACAGCAACCAACAAAACTCTCTCTCTCCAACCAACCAACCAACCCAATATCAAAATATGAAACAACTGCAAAAGCGACCATCACTCATCCTTTATAGATTCAGCTAGTGCCCAGTGGTCGCAGGACTGCAGCTCCAGAGGAGTATCCTGTTGTCCTTGTCCCCGAAAGTTGCGTGGAAATCCATCCCAATCCAACTTTCCATCTCCATCTCCATTTCCCTCTGCTGCTGCACGTTTTGTGGCCATTGTCGCATTGAATTAGCATTTTTCATCCGATTTATCTCCGCAAGGAGAGAGTAAAATTCAAAAAAACTTTACCCGAGAATCATGCAAATATAACTTATGTGTTAGCTAGCGAAATGTTTTTGTGTCAGCTTTTTCACATGGTTTAGTTACTTGTTGTAATTTGTGTTGTATTTGTTTATTGTAAAAAAAGGATACTTAAAAACATGGAAAATAAATAATTACTTGTGATTATGCTATTAAAATGATGTTTTAGCCTAAAAACAAAAATAATAAACCAAATGGAACTTTGGAAGACCAAAGTGTGTATACCCTTGCAGTACAAAATTTACAAAAATTTATCGATTTTGTAATTATTGTTTTAATATCCAAATTGGTGGTGCATAGGACATTAATCATTATTAGAAATCAAATTAAAATTAGAATTTATTATTAGAAATCTTAAGTGTTTTGCCATTTTACCTGAGTAAACATTTTTCTATCGATAAAAATTGGAAAAAGGATCAATATACATTCAATATTAATCATTCAATTCAGAATGCATATTTTAAGACACATTTATATAATGGCATGTGTTTTTTAATGCATTATAGTAGTCGATAATGAGTCAAAATTACAAAAATTATAATACCTTCTGCAAGGGAATAGCACAATAAATTGGCCTAATATCATAATTTTTCGAGATGAGCTTTAAACTTAAATATAATATTATTTCATAACCAATAAAGTTTCGATATATATATATTTGTCTGCTTCCCTAAATAATTACAATATTAGGCAGAATCAAATAGAATTCCTGCAACAACGTGATCATAAACAATCTATTCTATTCAAGTTTTCAAAGTCCGTTGATTAGAAATTTAAGGTTTTTTCTTTTCCAAACATTAGTTTCCAATCAAATGGAAAATACAATCATATCGAATCAATAAACTCACCATTAGGCGTTCTTTATCATAACTTGCACCGTCAACGCGCCTATAAAACTCCATGAAACTATAAAAAACATTATTTAAAAACAACTGAAAATCGCATTGCAAATAGTTGCACAAATAAATGTTGTTTGTTATCCTTTCAATTGTTATTATTGTTGATGTTGTCGTGCATTTCTGTTTCATACACCAAAAACAACCGATTTATGTTGTTCGGTTTCCAATTGGTTTTGTATTAGTTGGCGATGCCTACTTAGAGGCACTTATGCAAGCTGCAATTTTATGTTTCCCCTTTGATTTCGTTAGAATGCATAACTGTATCTGCAATTTAGCTGAAAACCAAAAGCAAAGCCAAAAAGAGTAACTAAAAAATGAATTGCCAGTTGAGTTGAGTTCTACGTATTCCCCTGTGTGTGTGACCCCGAATCGTAAATCCAAATAACCAAAGAACGTAATGAAACGGAGCAAAGGCAAATGCGAAAGTGAAAGGAGGGGAATGCTGACCCGAAATGTGACTGACGGATGTACAGAGTACAAAATGAATGTTGTAACCACCAACATGTCTAGCTACTATACGTGTCTACTATAAAATAATTTATGTAATGAAAAATATCGTAATGTTGATGTTGGGCCCATAATTTGAACTTATGTGTATGCAAGCCACAACCTCGATCCCAGCAAGAATCACCCCACCCGAGGCCACCTCAACCACCCAACTACCCAGCAATCCACCCACCAGATCCCATCCCCTTTTTTGCTCGTAGCTTTCTAACCAGTTGCACACACGCCTTTGAATTTGCATCCAACGTGGAAAGTCTTGAATAAGACCGAAGCAGGCAACATCAAGGGAGTTAGTTGTCTCCCACAATGTATTACGTAATATCAAATGCTGGTGATCTGTAAATGGTACTTCCGTGTCTATTTTCCTTGTCAGTCATTCTTTTCTCTTTAAGTAATAGTATTTTAAATCATTTAACTCTGTACATAGTCTCTATATTTGTGTGAAAATCTGCTATTGGATGTTGTATGTGTGTCTGATTGCAATTTGTAATTAAGTTTTAAGGGTATGAAGGGGACTTTTGAAGAGAATTATCTTGAGCTTAGGTGGAAGGTAAATGAATATGTATTTTTAGATCAAGCTAAAATTAATATTAAGAAGTTGATAGCGATAGTGCAAACCCTTCATGACAAGTTCACTTCGCGACTGTCAAGTGGAAAGCAATTTCTCAAAAGTATTGCAATCGCCTGCAAAAGTGCATAATGAAAAGTTTCACCAACAATATAGAGGAAAAATCAAGAATAAGGGCAGCCGAGTCAAAGTCGATTGGCTTTTAAGGAGCCGCCGCTCGCTTGGGAAGTTTCATATGGTTTCGTCGTAAGAATGTGAAGGCGCCACCCCAAAGGACCCTCCATATACTCGTACAATTGAATTTGGATCACGCGGTGGGGGAAAAGCCAGCAAAGAAATCGAGTACACACAAAGTAACCGGAAAGTTGGGGCCTCGACAGCTGCCCCAGTTCTGAGTTGTCCTGACACGGCCCCGAAAATTGAGCCAATTGGAGGGTGCAGGTGCATTAGAAATGTGCTTGCCCAAGAATACGGCATTCGAAGGAGTGGCTGCCACCGCTGAAAACTTAACCCGCCCACCCTGTGTGATAACAACACAATCAATTTGCACGAAATTTGCACAGAGAGGGAGGGCGCAGACCCATTGATATGGATAAGGCAAATGCCAGTTGCTCGATTGCAATGGTTAACTTTGCATTTGGCTTGCACACCACGTTCTGAAGCGCATTTCCATGTAAGCTTCTCGGTTGTTGACAAAAGGAATAGAAAAAACCGCCAGCAGAGGAAGACAGCAGGACGAGGACAAGGACGAACGACAGGACTACATTTTCAGGCAAACTGCAAGCGTGGTTGTCAACTAAGAGCGTCGGTTTTTCAGCTCCGCAACTGCATGATGGCGGGACGCAGTGGAGGACTCTATGCCGAGTCCTGGATAAGCAGCAGTAGGGGAGCGGGACATGTCCTGACTATCGATTGGAGTGGTTTTTGGTGGAACATTTTTCGTGGCAAAGCTTGAATTCTGCTCGAGCAGACGACCAGTTAGCCAGTTAAATCACAGGAAAATGCAGAGCTGGAAATTAGATTGTTTTTAATTAAAACTGAGACGGGTAATGAAAATATTTTGAAAGGCCAATTAACAGCTTATAAAAGTAAAAAAGAGAGAGATCAAAGGCTTAGGCTTAGGAATGTCCTTGCAATGATTTAAAACTTTCTGTCAAAGCTTCAGGATAGGCTTTTAGGCGACCCTGTTATTGCGGTTTTTTCTGTAGAGTATTATTCAGGATGTAAATAACAGAATAAAGCAACCACAATAATTAGAGAGTTAAGGTTTTGGGAGATCTAAACTAGATACCATTATCTCGGCGATATTTGTTATTGTTATTTCTAGCGATATGTCTGTGTGTCTTGTGTTCGTTCTCTATATGTGCATTATGTGTTGTGTACCGTATTTGTATTGTAGATCATAAATTTTGCATGCACCGTAGCTATAAATAAGCAGGTCCTTGGCGAAATGCGAAACCCACTCCACCCACCACTGGCACACGATGCCAAAGATATCCTTACACCCACATAGCACACCCGTATACGTATACACATTATTATGGCCAAGTGTAATAACAAATCACCCAGCATACACTGACAACAAACACTCTGCGGAGGAGCACACCAACGTGTTGCTCCCTCTCCGGGACGCGGTCCGCACAGTGTTGCTTTAGTTGTAATCAAAATCGAATATAAATCATACTCGCGGCCATCTGTCTGTGTGCGGGGTCCGTTCATGCAAAATAGCCATAAATCGTGGGCGCCCAGCGAGATTTCCACAAGTTTGCGGTCTCCCACACCCAGACAGAGAGGCCCGACCTGAGATCATCAGCAACCAACACGAACTAGTAACACACGCAATTGGGGCATATATGTTATACATCAAATTTGATTTCTGATGGCTCGTTCTCCACTAAACGTTTCAATTTTGCCACCTGCCGTTAGATTCGCATCGTGTTTTTGTGCTGGCTGCCATGGATCCTGCGAATGAGTCGACCGGGGCGACCGTTGATCCTGGAATTTCCGACCACGCCCTGCTCGGATACGTCCTCCGAGCGGAAGCATCAGATCCTATCCGATGTTGAGCTGAAAGAGCGGTATTTAACAATCGATAAAAAATAAAATGTTTATATTTTTAAGGGGGAATTGTTACTTCTTTTTGGGTTAATCACATTAAAAGTTTAAATACTTTTTTAAAAACAAGAGCAGTTTTCCAACATTACCATACATACATTCATAATTATTGAATAGCCCATTCGCTGTGTAACTGAAAAATAAAAAGTAGTTACTTTTATTGTGGTTTTCCCGTTTAAGAATTAAGAATTTAAAATAGATTTCTACATAAGTATAAATATATTTTATTAGTCATTAATTTAGAATTGATTTTTAAAAAGCTTTTGGGTAGACCATTCAATTCTATTCATTCATTTATTATTCATTCTATTATTATTAATTAACTATTAATTAACTATGAAATTAAAATTTAAGGAAAGATCATAAAATTTCAAACAAATAGTAAATATTTTCGATTGCACATCGATTAGTGAATTGATTTATCGATAAAAAACACGATTTTATATATTTGAAAACAGTTGCACCTAACCGTGATGCTTAAAAAGATAAAAATAATTATAGGCTTTTAGTGTGATTTCCTCACAATCAATAATTTAAATTAGGGAACAGTATATTTCCGATTATTTATCGAATAGCTCAATTTTGTTGTTCTGCCCAAGTTATTTATGTTCTGGCTTTCTTTGAGTGTGAAAGCGAGAGCGGGAACTGTGAAAATTACCCGAAACGTATTCCGTATTGGTCCTGAGTGCACTAAAGCTGCTTTTTTCCTCCCCCTAAATCGAAGCTCGTCGAAATCACTGCTGGCAAATGTCCTGGACATCGACGATGACTTCCGTCACAACTGCCGCCCCATGACGCCCGGCGGAACACTGCCACACAATCCGGCTTTCTATCGCACGGTTTACGGGTAACGAATCGCAAATGGCCCCCGGGCCCCGTTGGGTTAACTGAATCTAGCCACTGACGAGCCTCTTTTTCCCCGCTTACGGCCCATTTGGCCAACTTACAGACAAGGCGACGATGGCAGCATTGGGCCAATTGGCAGCACCCGGATGCCGGATGCGGTCACCCATCACACGTGCATCAAATCGTCAACAGAATATGAACTAGGTTTAATCTTAAAGGAGATCCGCTTTATAACTGATCAGGTGAGTTGGTGGCACAAACAGTCTTTTCCTTTCAACAGTTAACGCTCGGAGGGAAGCCATGGTGTGTGTGTTACCTTTGTTCATTTATATTAACCATTATCTCGATAGATACTATATTGAATTCTATGAAGAGACATTCATCATCGTTCACATTGCATGCCCCATTAGCACTTAAAATCTAGTTAGCCACAAAATTTACTTAATTACTCCATCTTCTTCTCCCTCCCCCTATATAACTTACTCTGTATATCTGAATAATCGAATAAAAAATACTAAACAGCTACGTAAAGATGACGAGTGCAATGACATTGCCAATGATTGGAAATTTGCAGCTATGGTCGTTGACAGACTGTGCCTTATCATATTCACAATGTTCACAATATTAGCCACAATAGCTGTACTACTATCAGCACCACATATTATTGTCTCGTAGCCATATGGGCGAGGTGGTTATTGTTATTGGTTTTATTATAAAATCAATTTGTTAATTATTAAATTAATAACGAAACTTTTTAAGTAACTTAAACCAAAAGAAACATAAAAAATACAAAAAAATAGGAAAAAATACATGATTAAAAACCATTTACTAAATAATAAACAAAACAAAAACTCAAACTAAACCAAAAAAAAAAAAAAACAAAAACAAAACCAAATAAATAAAAATCAACATTTGTCTCTAAACACACAATAATTTAAATAAAATCTCGTTTAAAAAGTCTTTCATTGAACTAACACTGAAAGAGACTAAAGAAAACATCATATACTAAAGCGTTAAAAACTAACTAATTCCAATTTTCCTAATTCTATACTAAAACAAAAATCTAAAAATGGTAAATCGAAAGACCCTTCCTTCTTCCCCGCAAGCCCCCCACAACCCCCTATCTATGTTTCTTCCATTAAATATATAGATATATATATATATATATATATATACATATATGTTTGACAAGCAAGCAAAACGGGTATATTTTCTTTTAGATCTTATATTTTATAGAATAAGCGATAAATTTTCATAAAAATAGTCACAAAGGTTTTCGAAACTTTTTATTTTTGTTTTTTGACCGACAGACTTCTAGAATACGTCAGTATTTCAAAGACAAAATCCGAAACCCGAATACCCAAGACCTTTTTGGAAGACTTCAATTTGAGAGCTTTATAGTAAAAATTGTAGAGAACAGCTTTTCAACATGCAAGTGAAATGAGAACCCAACGTTTTTGGATCAACAGAAGGAAAGCAAAATTTATAATCTTCTTCGACACTGAAGTCAGTCCAGCGGTTTGTTCCAAGCAACTTTTTGCTACCAATTAGTACCTAGGGCAGTTAAGACAAACACAATTTCCCTTTTTAGATGAAACTGCATCTCCAAACCAGAACCAAACAACCTTACATATCTACATAGCTCCCTCTTCCAGTTCTGATTATCCCTTCGTAGCACCACCATAAATCCAAAACCCGAAACCAAATGCAAACACTAAAACTAAAAACTTCCCGACCCCTTAAACTTACCAAAACCAATAGAATAACCAATCTAAATTGGAATTACGAAAATTCGCTGGAATATAACAGAGTAAATGGAAATAATGAGAATGCAAGCGAAAGTAAATATATATAAATACGAACGGAACGGCAATAGAGAATGAGCCCAGATCGCGATCAGCAAGTGAAATGCATCCCACGGATTGCATTTCATATTTACTGACGCTGCGCGCGGATATGAACTTATCAAATTTGAATGGTTGCGAGCAATAATATCTGCGTGTTGATGAATTGCATGATGATTTTGGTGATGCAAATGATGATCGATCGAACTATTGCTCAACGTCCACGACAGAGGGCAAGAGTTCGCTCCTTCAGCACATTGAGAACAGCGAGCTATTAGCAGTTTAACTTTCGGTATTGATTTCACGCATCATTATCCCTTATTTATGCAAATACTAAAAGTTAAGAACACTGTACGACACCAGAAGGCAATTCACAATACACACCACAAACCGAACAAATTGGAAAGAAAGAATAATTAATAGAAAAGAAAAGAAAGACAAACGAAGATACAGTACTCGAGACATTCCAATAACAATGAAAATCACAGGACCCCAGAACACATAACATGCCGGTGCATGGCAATTGTGTGCTGGTTAGATATTCTGCGCACAAGACATACTTGATCCCAAGTCACGACAACCGAAACATACATATAACCAAAGAGCTTTATACAGATTAATATGGATGGGGTCAATCTGGCCGCACTTTTCATATATTTGTACCACACAACATACACAGAACCCTCACTCACCACACAAGATTGTTCACTGACTCTCCTGTCCCAAGAGTTGAAGGTTCACAGTATGTTTCTGTCCGCTGACTGGCCAAGCACACAATTTCTATAGCGAAACAAGAAATACAAGAATCAAAATCTTAAAAATTAACACGGCCTGGGAGTTCAATGTGAATTAGAAGATGGAGGAACTTTTATATCCTGAGATCCTGAGGAGAGATCTCCCTAGAACACCCAGAGGCAGAGAGCCGACCCAGAGACTCCATTACTTGGTTCACTGAAAAGACACCCATGGCCAAGGATCGATGAAAAAGCAAACTGAAAACACTGACTTTTCTTTCCACACAAAAGCAAAGAAAACGTTCGAAATGGAATAAGCTTTTTAATTTTTAAGTTACAGTTATTCTGCTTCTAATTGTAAATCTTGTGCAATGTAAACAATCAGAATTTTTCTTTGAATATAAACAAGGTGAACACAGAAAAGCAAAAGTAAACCATTATATACATACTTACATAAATACATATATAGGTCACAGTAAAAAAATGCAACAAAATTTCAAAACTAAATAAATAAAGTACGATTAGCAACTAAACGATGTCATTCAACTTAGACTAGGCACAAAAGGGAAATACTTACCGCATTAAGATTCTATCCAAAGAGCTAGGAAAATGTGAACTCAACAAATCTTGTTAGCAATAGATTTACACACAAGCAATTAATTGATTGCGCAGAACGAATAAATAGAGGAGAAAGCATAAACATTTATATGGAAACAATAGTTTTGTATGATTTCAAGCAAAATGTTTATACTGAGATTTTGTAAGCCAATCTATACAATCTTCCGATTAGGCGTACTTGTTTTTGTTCGTTTTGATGGTTTTGGCTCCAATAAGTAAGAATAAGGTCTAGCTTTTGATAAACGATTCAAATTGTAAAATAATATGAGAACTTGTTATATTTTAATAAAAGGTGAAATTCTAATTATATTTCGTTGCCCACACGAGTAGCGCAAAAACCAATGAAATAGGGAAGGATCGGATTGTGGGTACTTTTCTTAATCCTTTTGATAAGAATATTTTTTAATTTGTATGCTTTTCCAACGCGAATGTCAGTGAGAACAATTAACGATAGATTTCAAGGCTAACGTTTAAGAATATTAACAAATTATAATAGAGAACATAGCAACAAGCTGCCAGCATGAAAAATAAAAACAATAACTAATTTTAAATATTTTATACATTTCCATCAATTGTGCTTATTTGAAACACAACAAAAAAACGAGAAGTAAGAATCAACAATGGAAACCCAACTGAAATAGCTGATGGCAGTTTTCAAATAGCAACCAATAACTGGATTATGTTCAACATTCAATTAGCTGAAGTTGAACCAAGTTTTCATATAAGCAATTTTTAATGAGAAAAGTCACCAAGGTAAATAAATAAATATATAGCAAATAGAGAGGCTCTAAGGGCTGGATTAACTTAATGGACAACATTAGTCACAGCCACGATTGAGATTAATAATACAAGCAACGTTCTAGTGCATAATAAGACAGTATGAGAAATAGTTTTTCGTAATCCATCACGAACACAATGTATGCATATATTTGTATATTTACGTGAATATATATGTGCATATATACATATACTTCTTTTACATGAGCAAGCAAGTATATATATATAAATATATATATTATGGGATGTAATAAATAAAACAAAATATTTGATGAAAATGACGAAACTTTTTCCTACAACTAGTTGCATTTAAATGAATTTTAAAAAATATACATAAAAAGTATATATTTCTTAAAAAAGAAAGAAAACAAAATGAAACCAAATCCTTTCTCTATTAAAAAACAAAACCAAAAACAAATGAAACACACAAAACTTTAAATTAATATTTAATTAGTCATTTAACAAGGGTTCAAAGAAAACCAAAATCAAGCGAGATGATTGCGTAACCTAGTAAATATTTAAATAAATTAATTTTAAAAATGTGGAAAAGGAAAAACAAACAAAAAAGAAAAACAAAAACAAAAAACAGAGAAAATAATTGAAAGCGCTGATTTTTATGTCGTTATTAGTATTTAAATTTAAATAATTGCATATAAAGAAACATACAGAATTATATAAAAATGAACACAAAGTATATGACATAAAAAATTAGAAGAAAATTTAAATTGGCCATTTTGACCAAAAATAGTAAATTATAGAAAACAGAATTAAAATAAAAATTGAAAGGAAACAATGAAAAAGGAGATGGAAGCCCAAGTAAAGGGATTGTAAAATTTTAATTATTATTCAATAATAAAAATACAAAAAGAAATGATTTGACAGAAATACAAAAAAAAAAAAAAAAAAAAAAAAACAAATTAGGTTTTATTCTCATTAACGAATCCCACGTGAAAAATGGCTTCGATGGGGACGCTGCAGACGGAGACGAATCCAATATCCATATCAACATATATGGAAAGGTAAATTAAATAGCTTTGCTTATAGAAGTAAAACGTTAGATGGGCGTATGGTATTATAATGGGAACCTATTTAAATTGTATATATTTTATATCAACGTACTCATACTCATTGCAAAAAACAACACCTCAAACACTGTAAAAATCAAATCTTAGATTATGTAGTAATGGCTGTCGGAGTCATTAGCCCAATGAATGAATATGCATCGTTTAATATTTATATTCAAAGTGGTAAAATTTCACATCTGATTTCCCAGAAATATAAACTTTTGCAAATTTTACTAAAAGAAAATTCTGATCCCTCGCGCAGTTTGTCAACAACCAGCTGAAATCCAAATTAAAATCCTCTCCCTTCTTTATAATATTCATATAACAGATAAAACGAATAAATTTAATAAATAATACATTCAGCTAGCCAATCATGAGATTTTAGCTACATAAAGCTAAAGGAATGCTGCGTGTATGTATGAAAAGTTATTGTATTTATTGGTCCCTTTTCGAAAAGTTTCAAGTCAAAAAAATATACTCTCTATAATACTTCGGCATGATATCTTTAAATCCTTCTATTGATTTCTAATGTCCACTTAAAAAGCTTAATTTCTTACAAACGATTCATATATTTATATATTTAATATTCAAGATCTGCTTCTCTAGTATTTTTGCACACTTATTAAACATTTGCTTATGCATGCTGTACATTTCATATTAAAAATGATAAACTTTTCGACTAAAAAGTATTATTTTCTCTAACCATTTTCATAACTACGAGGAATATTGGGAGTGG